GTGTGGTATTCCTATGAACCTGCATAACAGCTCATAAACAAAATTTTACACAATAAGCTCATAACACTGCTAGTGAAGATGTCAGGGATGTCTTCGGCCCTTTGAGAATATAGCAATTCTCAGGCACAAAAATGTCCCAGTTTTATCAGTATCTTAACAGTGGCATTATTTTTACAAGTTTGAAATTGAAAGTTATCACCCTAATACCTAAAATATTGTTTTATTCACACTAGTTAATACCTTACTCTTCATATCTAGCCAGCTGGGCTATCTCCTTCATTTACTCAGAACAGTGATCTCTTTCTAAAGAATCAGAAATTAAAGAAACAAGAAAATCCTACAAGACCAGCCAGACTTAAGGAATGGCCACTGATGGCTCAATATACATAGAATAATTGTTGGAAGGTAGGGGAAACAAACAGAAAAACCTCCAGAAAACCTACTCCCAGACTTTTAATTAGTAAAAACGTGCTCCTGCCAAACTGATGCTCTGGGATGCACTCAGTCCTCCCCCCTGCAGCAGATGCTGTTTGTTCTGATCAGAATTTCTCACACAAACCCCACTCTCTGCGGAAGTTCAGTGGGCCACCATGAAGCACACCACCAAGGACTTTCAAAAGGAGGAGCAGATGTGAATTTAGTACATAATTATTTGTAATAACAGTATTCAAGAAAGATACTATCAAGGGAGGCTTAGCACCACACAGTTTAACCAACACAGGGATAAACAAAGAAAATGAAGGTGGCTGTCAGCTTCACAGCCCTTCTCTCTGATAAACTAGGGGTTAACAAGTACAACCAGGAGTGCAGCTTACAGTATTGTGCTGCATATAACCAGTATTCCCTCACAGGGAGTAGGTCCTACGAAATAATTAATAGCAAACCCTTTACAAGAAGAACACTGTTTCTCTGCATGCACGTACAGTAAACAAAAGCACACACATGCATGAAGGAGATCTGCCACAATTCGCTCCAAACGTGAATCGAGCATGGTCCGTGCTGAGTTGCACTGAATGCTGTCAGTGAAAAGAATGTGAAATACAGCTTCAGACTAACATTTAATCAGTATTATGTAACCTGTGTTTCTAAGAGATTTTAATCTGGGAGAGCCATATAGCCCAATTTGACAAAGACATAAAGGAGATCCCTTGATTTATACCATCATTCGTGTTTGAAGGAATCTCAGGAGGCTTCTAGTCCAACCTCCTGCTCAAACCATGGTCAACTCCAAATTCAGACCAGGTTGTTCAGGTCTTTCTATGGCCAGGTCTTGAAAACCTCCAGGGACAGAGACTCAATAGCCTCTCTTGGCAGCCTTTCTCAAGGCTTCATTACCCTCCCAGCAACAATATTTTTTCCTTATATCCAGGTCAGAACCTCTCTGTTCCCATTCCCACATCAGGCCTCTTTCTCCCCACCACCCCCCTCTGTGAGGAGCCTGTTGCCATCTCCCCACTGCCCTCCCATCAGTGGGAAGGGTGGCTGTTGGGCCCCCACAGCTTTGCCTCCCTGACAGAGCAAGCCCCGCTCCTGTAGCCCCTCCTTGCACATCAGCTCCAGCCCTGACCATTATGGGGGCCCTGCTGGACTCACTCCAGTTTTTGAGCCCTCACCCTATTGTAGCTCAGAGCTGGGCCCACACTGCAGGTGGGGTCTGGAGAGAGCCAGCCAGGGGACCCCTGCTGTCACCCACTCTGGGCCATGCTCCTGCTGGTGCAGCCCCAGGGTCGCCAGCCTTCACTGCTGCCAGGGCATCCTGCTGGCTCACGTTTAGCCTGCTGCCCACCTGGGCCCCCACGTCCTCTTCAGGAGCCAATTAGTTCCCAGCCTGCACTCTTGCAGGGGGTTAGTCATCCCAATCGCACAACTTGGCATTTGTTATCGCTGAATTTCATGAGGTTCCTGTCAGCCTATTCCTCCTGCCCATCTAGGTTTCTCTGAATGGCAGGCCTTCCCTCAAGTGTATTGACTGGTTGACTAGTTTCTCAGCCACAAACTTGATGAGGGTACAACTCCATCTCCTTCTCCAGATCCTTGCCAAGGATGTCAGGCAACACAGATACATTGGGTTCCCTAAGGAACTCTCTCTCTGCAGGTAGAACATGAGCAATTAACCACTACTCTTTGAGCTTGATGACTGAAGCAGTTTCTCACCCAGCCAGCAGCCCATCTGTCAAGACCTAACAACACAAAGTGGATACAAGGGTGCTGGGGAAGACACTTAAAAGTCTTGCTCAAGGTGAGGTAAAAGACATGCACAGCTTCCCCTCATTCATGCATCCAGTAATTTCATCACAGAAATACATTGGTCAAGCACAGTTCATTGTCGTTCAATCCATGCTGGCTACTCCCCATCATCTCTCTTTCTTGTGCTAATAAGCATGTTTTAAGAGAACTCACTCCATAATTTTCTCACAGACCAAAGGGAGGTTGACCAGCCTGTAGCGCTCCAGATCATTATTCTTGCTCTTTCTGAAGATGAATGCAATGTATTTGTCTTTCTCCAGTCATCATGGTCCCTCTCTGATCTCAAAAACCTTTCAAAGATGATGGAGAGCAGCCTCACTATCACACTGGCCAGCCTCCTCACCACTCTCGATGTAGTTCATCTTATCCCAAAGACTAGATTTGGGTCAAGATTTCTCAAGAGATCTTTGACTTGATCCTCATGGGTCACTAGTCATTCTCCTCCTTGAACCCTCTCTCTAAACACATAGGCCTGGGAGATACTGTCAGAGAAGACTGAAGCAAAGAATTCAAGTGACTCAGACTCATCTGTGTTGGCTGCTACTAATTTACCCAGCCCATTCAACACAAGTCTACACTTTCCTTGTTTATTCCTGCAGTGCTAAAGCAACAGAAGTTTTATTGATGTCCCTTGCCCCTTGTCCTTCAGCTCCAGGTGTGCTTTGACTTTCCTGAAATCATCCCTACATGTTTGGGCAATGTTTCTATACTCCTGTCCCAGTGTTCACTTCCTATATGCTGTCTTTGTACTGCGGCTCAGTCACAAGCCCCCTGTTCAGCCAGTTAAGCCTCCTGTTATGTCTACTCATTTTCCAGGATGTACCATTCCTGTGCTTGGAGGATGATGTCTTTAAAAACTTGCCAGCTTTCCTCAGCCGATTTACTCTTCAGAGTTGCTTTCCATTGAATCCCACCTACCAGTTCCCTGAATAAGCCCAAAGTCTGTTCTCTTGAAGTCTAAGGTCTGTACCCTACTCTGCTACTTGCCTTCCTCACCTCCAGCAGGATCTTGAACCCCACTGTTTAATTCCCTAACAGATCTTCAAACAAAACCACAATTTTTATTGAGCAACCCATCGATAACACTACTGTGCCCTCTAAGAGAACCAGGATTAATTGCTGGGCCTGCTTAGCACCCTCAGTTGAAGTTTTGGAAGTGCTGCGAAGACTGTATATTCAGCTGAGCCAGGGAAACAGAGCACAAGTGGTTAGGACAAACCTCTGTATGTAACTATGGAGTATTCCCTCACACTGAGAGCCATCTTGAGTAGCATCCAGAAATTAGCATGTTCTGCCAAAATCATACGTGTTTTCAGTTAAAACACAGAACATTGCATTCTAAGATATAGCAAAGAAACAAGAAGGACAACGTCCATCACAGAATCAGCATCCATAGATACTAGGAAGTAGTTTTCTGATGAAATATAAATAACACTATACAACTCATCTAACAACTACATTATGCAGCTGTCACTAATCAACACTCATTGACACTGCACTATAAACTGCATTTTCCTTTTCTTTAACTAAATACCAAGCCTGACCTTTACACCATCACGTCAGTGACTGTGAAAAATTACTTAGCAGATAAAAGGGTATTTTCTCCTAGACAGGTGCCCACCTTGGGATGCTCGTCAGGTAGGTCAGGACGTTCTGGAACTCCTTCTCGGGGATCTCACTGAAAGCTGGATAGTCTGGAAAGGTGATAACAGGGCATCCATCTCCCCCTCTTCCACCTAAAAAAGAAACAAGCGTTTACATGCAAGTCCCTTTACCTAGCCTCCAATTTCCCAGTAATGAAACTACTGTGTTTCTTCCTTTTTTTTTTGGTGCAGGGCTTGTCAGCATGGACACTGTTTATTCTGAACAGTCTAGTCTCTTTTTCAGAACTTAGGAAGTTTTATAGGAAGGAACTTGTTACACCACATTAGATTTTTTCCGTACAAGTGTCTTTCCTCATGTGAACATAGTTTTGACACCAGGTGGCAGTGCATCTTTCTTTTGATAAATGTCAACTATGTAAATATAAACAATTTGGAGAAAGAAATGAACTGATTTAGGGGGGAAAAAAAAGTTAATTCAAAATTAAGTAGGTGAATCTCCATCTTGAACTGAATTCAACCTTCTTACCAGTTTGAATTCATTCCTACAACAACCCCCACCCCTTCAGTTAACTGTTCTGCTTCCAGGACAGTCTAAAAGAAGTGGCAGAACATTAAAAGAAATGGGGGAAGGTATTTCAGATAAGATTTCCTGTTCAACTTCTCAAATTACCTACAAAAGGTAAAGCAGAGCCGAACACCTACGCTGCAGTATGGCTGCTGCTGAGCTAGATACTATCTGTATCTTTTCTGGCATTTACACTGCTGGGTAGAATTCACAAATGCAACACTTTTTCATGTGCTTCACACACATTTTTATATACAAAATGTAATTTTTTTTTAATGTTAATGTTTCCTGTCTTATGCAAATATGCTTTCATACAGATAGGCTGGACAAAGGACTTGTTGAGCCTTAGCACCTGCATGAAGTTAACAGCTGGGGGGTGGCAGGGACACATTGCTGGAAAGTTATCTTTGCTTGACAGTTCAAAAAGAGAAGAAAAACTGCGGCAAAATAATAAGGGTATATTTTCCAGCCCTGAAATCTGACAACTGTGCAGAAACCAGCTGTAAACTGTATTAACAACACTGTCTGATCATGACAGCAGCAGTGATTTGTGAAAATTATAGTGTGCTATTACCCACTTCAAGTGCCTTTACATCTAACCTCACCAGAAAAAGAAGAGAAATATTTGAGCTCAGATTCATTTGATAAAAGAAACCACCATTTCCCTCCAAAACCGCATGTAACTAGAAGAGCTGAAATAGTATCCTTATGTTAATTTGTGGTGAATCTGACTTCACTCTACCAGCTTACAGGCAATATGGTGCAATGACTGTGTAACTCTTGAAATCAAACTACATCAGAAAACAATGTGCTCTGACAGCATTTAAACAACAACAACAAAATGCAACTATTATGCAAATACCACAAGTTTGCAAACATAACCTTTACAACACATCCAAACGCAGCAATGTTAAGTCAAAGGAGTTAATTTTAGCTATATAAATGTTCACAACACAAATGTAAGTTAAGACCAATTTTGATTTTATCATTTTTTTGTTCCACCCAGGCTCTCGGGACCAACGCATTTTCCCCTCTCATTAAAACATTTTTCAAGCATGTTAATGATTATTTCTGTTGCTCACGAGGTGTTCTGCTCTCTCCAGAATATCTATTTTTAGGTACAACTATACATTATTTGCTGTATCCCTGTTGATTACTTGCTTTGTTTTACTTAATTTCTATAAATAGGACATATGAAACAAAAGAATAACAACAATAGGCTTGCAGTACATGTCCTAAAAGCAGAAGCCCTGACTATGACCTTCAGGAAATTCCCAGACCACCACCAATTGTCAAGGGCAAATAGAGCCATCCCGCCTTGACATTGCCTATTAATTTTCAGTTTTTAGTACAGTCATCCATGGTTATCTTGGGTGGAGATGACTCTGTCCTGCCACATGCTGTTAGATGATCGTTGTTCACTGATTATCTTTTTCTCCAGTATTTTCCTGCTGGGACACTTAAGCACACATATACCTTCAAATGCTGCTCAACTGCTTTTCCTTATTAGGACCTCGCCACTGAAAAGAGTTTGGGGCAGGGTGACCTCAAGTGTTATACATAATAAATTCTGTAAAATTTCAACTTTAACATTACTGACCTATAGAAGCTGCTTTCTATATTGCAACTTTAAATACATGGCTGTCAATGGGAGATGGGCCGCTCTAGTGAAGCAGTCACTACTTACAAATGAGTGTTTGTCACAGCAAGCTACAAAACGGGCATGGGAAATATAAAAAAGTAAAAATCCTACACATAAATTGTGTTTGTATTAAATAACAGTAAAAGCAGTAGGTGGGTTCACTTTTTAAAGTGTTCTTCATTTCATAATGAACCTGATGCAGCAAGGAAAGATTTCTTCCTTTATTCTTGCTTTTCTATCACTTTTTCTTGCTTCACCTCTGCAAAAGCAGCATTACACAGTTTATTCCTAAATTAGCTGTGTAAAATGTGATTTTCTTCCCTTCTCCCAGAAGCAAATCAAGCCACAGAATTTAGGGGGAGGAGATAAAAGGGGAAGTTTAGGAAGCTAGGTTGGGTTTTGTTGCTGTTGGTTTTGTTTTTAGTGAGAGAGAATGCATTCAAGTGACAAAGTGAACAATTTTACTTCTCTCATCTTCTTGAAACACAGGTTTAAGGCAAAAGTGTAAACATCTTATTAAAACCAATTCATATAATAACTTCCCAGCATCTCAGAATTATATACACCCAATTACAAAAAAAGGACATGAAAAATTAGATGAACTCTATGAGTGCTACAACTCATGACAATAATTCAATTTGTACAGAGTAATTTTTAGAACGAGCGACTGGAATTTTAATCACCATCAAAAAAGTAGTGACTTAACTGTAGTATTTTAATAAATTCAGGTCTGTTGGTAGACTGACTGTGTCTAATTACCTCAGTCATAACCACTGGAAAATCACCTCTTTCTCCTTCCCTTCTAGCTCACAGTCCTGAAATTTTCAGCCACGGCTATGGAACAGCCTAAACTTATTTGCTGGGCAAGCTCTATCCACAATGGCACATACAAGCCCACTCACCTATTTCTAGGCTTAAGCAGGGATGGACTGACCTATACAATTGGAATTCAATAGTTTTATGTGTTCCTAAGACAACCAACTATCTCTTGAGAGCACTGAGAAGATTTTCTTAGTCTGATCTTAGTGTTTCGTTGGTTTTTTTTAATTCTGAAAGGATATTAACCCCCCTTGTTTTTGTTAAAAAATATAAACACTGTTGTGACTATGCAAAGGTAAGGTTGGATGGGGCTTTTAGCAACCTGGTCTAGTGAAAGATGTCCTTACCCATGACAGGGGGGTTGGACCAGATGATCTGTAAAGGTTCCTTCCAACCCAAACCATTCTGTGATTCTATGAAAATGTTGAAAAACATTCAGTATTATTTCTTTTTGAAATATTAAACAAATGCCACTTGAGTGCCAGCTTCAGTTTTTGTTTATTGCAAAGAGCAGAAGAGAATGCATCAGTCCTTAAGCGGGTGCAATCAGTCCGCACACATTTTACCCAAAACGATTCCCAAGAATTACTTGAAACTTGTCTCATAACATGCATCTGTAAGGAACATTCTCCAAGTGAGAGGGTTATTACTTGTCACTCTAAAAATGGAAACACCATAGAAGTAAAGAGCACTGAAGCATATGTCAGCAATTAATAAAAAAATAAACCACACCACCACTTTAAATGAAGTAGATCTATTTCCACCCTACTTCCGTGAGCCTTCATCAAAGGAAAACTTTGTTATTACCTCATTTATAACTGACTTTGGCAACCTATTCAGCTGAAACTTGTTTAACAGATTTGATACCAAAGAAAACACAAATTACCTTTCTAAAATGGGAATTTTCAGTGGATAAACCTCTACAATTCTAGTAAACCTCCAGTTAAGTGGAGCTCTTCTAAATAGATCTACATGCCTTGGTCTAAGGCCAGTTTTTACAACAGCGACAGCCCTGCATTTTGGAAAAATATGCGTTTTAAAAACATGTTGAATTGCATTAGCTCCACAGGTTAGGTAGCAAAATGACCTCACTGTGCTTAGGAAATAGCACTTCATGTTCCTAACTTTTGTATACAATTATTTAAACAATAGCACCAACCGTTAAAATTATGTGGACCCAGAGCATCATAACCTTGTGTATGAAATAAGTGGAAAAATGATCCTTGGAAAAATAGCTGTGCTACTGTGAGATGAGACTGGTAAAGTTTACTTTAAGCCTAGGTAATTTAGCATTTATTCTTCATACTCTACTACATCTAACTTTTTCCATCACAGCTGCAATCCTTTTTGGGTTTGTTTTCTTTTTTTTTTTTTGTTAAGCAGGTAGGGTGATAGAGAAGTGCCAAGCCAAGGAAACTGCAACCCTGTTTTACACAAATTCTAATCAAAAGGCGTACTGATGATTTGGTATCTAAAACCAAATCTCAAATGAGAAATAATTAATATTCTTTTCAATTTAAAATGGCATTGACAGGGAAAATTACAAAAACTATGAATTGTGCAGCTGCTAAAAAACGTAACACGTGCGCATGCACACAGACATAGAGAAAAGTGTAATTACCCACAGCCCTGGGAAAGACATGCTAGTTTTTTTGGTACGGCCAGCAAAACTGGGGAGCAGCAAAGGAGGTTGCTCAGACTTTCAGGAAAGAAGAGCAGATTATTCTGTAACGTTTTCCTAGTTATTCTGCTCCTGTTTGCATAAGAAAAGGTATTCTCAAAAGCACTCTGCCCAACCCCACAAAAAGGAAGCAAGGTAGTTGGATATAATTAGATGATGATGGAGCAAAAAGGTAGGTCGTCTGGCTTGAATCTATAATGCAAATGAAATGGTATTGGGCCTGTAAGAAAAAAATATGATCTGTATGTTGATCAATATGCACACACAAGATTCAAGAGCACCATCATTGTTAAACAGCTCAGATCTACAACTCTGGTTCAAAAGACCTAGCTTAAGTGAAAGTAATTTGTTTGCAGTCATGTCAAAAGTGAGGTCCTTGTGTGAAAGACAAGGGCTTACTACTGATTTTGCTTTACTGTTGTGGT